TGACATTCATCTATGATTCTTCTTATACCTGCATGCAAAGTCTCAGCCGGTTTAAACTTTCATTCCCTATTTTATCCCCTTGGGGGTGGAATTGATCAAAATCCTTTCTTAGCGGATGCCTACGTCATAACATCTACCTGCATGCCAAATTTCAGCCCGATCCGTCCAGTGGTTTGGGCTGTGCGTTGTATTCAACATTTGAAAGAAGAAATTTCAATTATAGTTGTTTTATTTTTTATGTTTTAAGCATTTAACTGCAACTGTATATTCGGTCGAACGAATCATTTTAGCTACATTAAATACAATTTAAGAGACCTATCTCTTATCTCGAAAACCGGAAGTGCTACGTTACTCAAATCCGGTTTGTAGTCTTATCAGACTATTCTTAACTTATAACTTAAATATTCTCTTTATCTATCTCTTACGGTGTGGCCGCTGAAACAGCACCACAGACGGACGGACGGACTTGTCTAATAGATAAGAGATAACAAGCATTTATTACAGACTTTAAATTCATAGGCAAGTGTTAGTAATTAACATGTGCGTAATTTGTTATTCGTACGGAGGAGCTCGATGGCGCAGGCTAGCGCGTTCGGCTGCGATCGTTGAAGTTAAGCAACTTTCGCAGTGGTCGGTCATTGGATGGGTGACCAAAAATTTACTATCTCGAGCTCCTCCGTGCTTCGGAAGGCACGTTAAGCATTTGCAGTCGTTAGCACCCACCAATCCGCACTGGGCCCGCGTGGTGGGTCATGGCCCAATCTCCCTATTCCATCCATAGGGAAGGCCTGTGCCCCAGCAGTGGGGAACATTAATAGGCTGATGATGATGATGAATTTGTTATACTGTTATTTATCATAAGGACCTCATTTATAAAACTATATTTAAGACTATGATTTTATTTATTTTTTAAGCATTTAACTGCTAGATGTTTAAATCTAAAGAAAAGTTTACTAGAAATAAAACCCACGCGGACCAGACAGCCAGGCATTGTGGGTTACCTACAATGCGTAGATTAGGCGCCGCCTTGCAGCTTAAGGCTAGGAAAATTTCGACGCAGCTAATAGGGCCGTGTTAGCATAATGGTCAGTGCATTCGCCCGGTTAGCGAAAGGTGCGGGTTCGAGTCCCGTCCGCTGCCTGGTCCGCGTGGATTTTTTTCTAGTAAACTTTTCTTTATATTTAAGATATTTGTTTACATTGGACAGTGCAAAGGGTTTCTTTATAATTTTAATTATTTATGTCTAGATGTGAGGACCTGTAATAGGAATGATGACTAATATTTTTTTTCTTCGTTTATCAGGTAGATTATCAAAAAGTATTAGGCACGTATTTTTTCTTTTTTCACATAATATAAACATTGCAGAGATATATTGATTTGAAAAGTCGCATGACGTCACGTTTGAGTACACTTATAAGTGAAAATTCACTCAAAAGTGACGTCACGAGCCCCTACTCCCAAACTTTGACGCGCTATAACTTTGTCATTTTTTGGTTGATTGCCCAAAGCAAATAACGTGTCCATTTTGGATCATCTAACTGACGGACTAAATAGAATTTCGTTTACTGTACCCCGTCATCACCCCTATTGGCTCTTTGTCGGTACTAATAATCTCTTATCTATTAGACAAGTCCGTCCCTCCGTCAGTCTGTGGTGCTGTTTCAGTGGCCAAACCGTAAGAGATAGATAAAGAGAATATTTAAGTTATAAGTTAAGAATAGTCTGATAAGACTACAAACTGGATTTGAGTAACGTAGCACTTCCGGTTTTCGAGAAATCACGAATTTCAAACGAAACCACACAAAATCTCCGAAGTTCTCAATTAATTAAATACATTTTTTTTGACGTGACAACGTCTTAAATTAGGTTGCGGCTGGGAGTCACTTATGAAAAAGTGTAACGCTCGGTAACGTTACGATGAGTCTCTCGTGTTAAGTTTAAGTTTACATGTACAATGTTTTAGTAAACAAAATATATTTCTATAGTTAAAATTTGTGCAATTCTTATTTTCATTCAATTCCTTGTTCCTATTGTGCAATTTAATTATATTCATATCAATAAATATTCTACCGAGAAAAAGACGTTGTCACGTAAAATCTTCGCCCGTAAAACCGACTTTACAGGCAACCATTTTTTTTAATCAGGTTTTGGTAAACATTTGGTTCACTGGTTTGCTAGTTATATTTGAAAACCAAATCAGTTTGCACTGTTATAATGAAACCAACATCAGCAGACAAAAAATAGAAAATTTAATATCATACAATACAAATAAATACATAAGTTATTAACTCTTTAACATAACATCTTAAGCCCATATTACTTAGTTATTAGTGTACATAAGTTAAAAGACTAGCTTACCACTATTTTTTGGCTATATTTGAATCAAAATAGTTTTTGAGTTAATTAAAATGACAATTGAGGAGCTGGCAAACAAAATGGTATAATAGGGTATTTGACAAGTTTTAGAAAACAATCTCACGTTATTGAATAATGTTCATGGAGTCCGTAAAAAGTGGATATTCATCATTCTGTTGTGTATTTCAGTAAATATAGCCATATCAAAAACTCCATTTACAATTTGCCGCGAAAACGTTTCTCTGGACAATATGGCGTCTTACTAGTGTGCGACGTCACACGACTGGTATCAAAACGTCAAACGATACAATGTAATGTCACTTTAACCGGAAGTTTACTTGCGTGTGACGTCATTTTTGGCTCCGCCAATCCCAAGCGTTTTGGGTCACGTGACAATAGATAAGAAAACTATTATCGTATTTTCGTGGGTTTTTAGTAAAATTATTAATATTTCTTTTTGTTAAAATAGTAAAAACCCCTGCCAATATTCATTCTTAGCACAGATGCTAACAATTGGCACTTTATTTTTAACTAGTGGCCCGCCCTCGCTTCGCTTCGGTGTAGAGCTGTAGTTTAGATTATATTTTTGTTCTCAGGTTTCTATTAAACACAATGACTTTCTTTAAATACCTAATTACTAAAGACACGCGCCGCCGCCGGCCCCCCGGCCAGTACTGCCCGAACCGGTATGTTCCTGCATTTTAAATCTGTAATATCTTCGAAAATATTCATTTAAATTACATGCTGTAGAGGGTTATATTGATCTATATTACACGCACAATGTATTTAAGGTACTTAATTGGATAAGGATTAATGCTGTATTGCTTAAAATCGCTTGTTCGTAAATAAGCCATTATTTTCTCGTAATAAGTAATTAAAAAATGATTATTGTGGGTTATACCAAAGAGATAGGCATATACCATCGCGGACTTTTTTGTAGACCTTTTTAAGGTGTACAATACTGTAGTACATTATTTTGATCTATCTCGTTGGGTTCAGCCAGCGTTTGCAATGTAAGCGCAAAAAAATGTATTTCTTTACGACCTTATATTAAAAACCTCTAAAATTATCAGTGTTTCTCTACTATATTATGCAAGTATTATACATATAAACCTTCCTCTTGAATCATTCTATCTATTAAAAAAAACTGCATTAAAATCCGTTGCGTAGTTTCAAAGATCTAAGCATACAAAGGGACATAGGGACAGAGAAAGCGACTTTGTTTTATACTATGTAGTGATAGTGATACTGTCAAATATCCTATTACGCATCTGGCCAAACTACTTTAATTTTACTGTCCGGAGGTTTCGGGCCAGTTGAATTTGAATCTCAAATAATTTTCAACCCAAACCACCTGAAACAGTGTTAATATTACTAAAGCTATGAATTAAAAACCATGCCAAAAGCTCACTGGAGGTATGTCATTCAGTTTTATACAGCTCCTGTATAATTTAAATTTACGGAATTATACCATTTTGTTCACCAGATCCTCAATTCGTATAACATCAATCGTACAAAAATTAAAGAAATCATCACGAAAAAACAAATTATTATTACGATATAAAACAATATATATTAAAAAGAAATTGAAAAACCGACTTTTGTGAAAATCGCTTAAATTCGCAATCTAACAGAGCTTACCTTACAAAACCCTACAAAACTTAATGAAATTGATAATTTTTTATATAATTTTAATATTTAGTTCATCAGGACACAACCTTAAAATCGTTTAGTTTCATTTTATACGAAACACTATTGTTAAGACTTGAACACAAAATTCACATGTAGAAAGTTATACAAACAAAAAGATACGCATAAATATGGATCCAACAGTCTGTATCGAGTTAAGACTTCCAAGTACCATCAATCCATATAATTACAGAGAAACCAAGCCCCTTAATATTATTTCAAGAAGTTACTCAGAGACTTATATGATTATATAGATATGCTTACGTAAAAAATTGGCAAAGAAATATTACATTGCAAAAGAGATTTCTTGACTAATCCGTTTTAAGAACCAATGAACACCTTCTAATTCTAAATGGGATTTTTGAAGTGAAACTTCTTTATCGGCGTTGGAAAAAAATTTACCGTCACATTTTTCGGTTACGCGTCACATTTTTCCGTTACGCGCCATCTTTTTTTACATTAATAGTTGATAGCTGAATGATCACAATGTCGCTGGCGAGAACTCTCTCTACTCGTTTGTAGCTGAGTGACAATAGTTATTAAAGATAAGACTCGCTCAGCGATACTCGCTCAGCGATACTCGCTCAGCGATACTCGCTCAGCGATACTCGCTCAGCGGTACTCGCACAGCGGTACTCGCTCAGCGATACTCGCTCAGCGATACTCGCTCAGCGATATTCGCTCAGCGATACTCGCTCAGTGATTCTCGCTCAGCGATTCTCGCTCAGCGATACTAGCTCAGCGATACTCGCTCAGCTATACTCGCTCGGTTAAGCTGGCTTGGCTGTCAAAAGCCGTGCACGTGCATTTTAACTCAGGACTGCCAATTCGTTTCTAGTTTCTACTCGCTTATCGATCATCGTCGGAGGTGGAACATGTGCCTTAGATTACTGAGCCGTGTAATCATAACAGTTTCATAGGCAGTAATTTGTATTCATGTCTATGATAATAAAATCCTTTACTTTATCTAATTTAACTTTATTTAACCAATTTCTGGAAAGTAGCATGTAGATCATTTTTCGAAAAATAAGGCCATAAAGAAGTTTCACTTCTTACGTGTGTACACTAGTACACGCACACATTTTTTTATTTTATATTAACTCGGCCAAAATACTGATAATTTTTTCGTATTTTGATTCAAATCGCATTAAATAAAACTTCGCATCGGAAAATCATGTTTCGGAAACACTCTCCACCTCGATCACGTGCCTGTGTTTCCTCTTCTTGTGGATTCCATCGAATTCATTCTGGATCTCTTCCAAACTGCGCCCTTTTGTCTCAGGCACGAAGAAGTAGACAAATATTAGACCAATGATGCAGATCGAGGCGAAATACCAAAGTGCCCAGCCAAGTCCGATCTTCTTGACCAAGTGTTGAAACATCTTCGTCACTGCGAAGGCTAGCATCCAATGGAATCCCGCCGCAATCGCTGTAGCTCGCCTCGTGGCGTGTTTTGGAAAGATCTCTCTCAACATCAACCAAGGTATCGGGCCAACACCTGCAGCGTAAACGCTTACAAACATTGACATCGTAAACAGAGGTATCCAAGTCCCGTTCTCATACTGTGTTGATGCTTGCAAATGGTAATATATAACGGAACATCCTAAACTAACAGCCATAGTCGAGAAAGACAGCATGAGAAGTACTCGGCGTCTTATAGTTTTTAGAAGCATCGTCGAGAAGTAAGTAGATGATACGAAGCAGAAACCTAGGATGATGGCGGCGCCCGGTAAATTCTGCGAGACGCAGAACATGTCGAAAATGTACTGTGCGAAAAACAATACGGGGTATATACCGCTCATTTGCTGGAAGATCATTAGTCCGAAAGAGACAATTAGTGCTTTCACGGTCGCTTTAGTGCTGAGGAGTTGACCGAAGGAGATTTTTTGTTTGGTATAGTTTCGCATTTGCTCTTTCAAGTCCTTGATTTCGGAGTCTATGTTGTTGTCGATGCCGCGGAAGTAACGTAGGGCTGCTTTCGCCTCATTGTACTTCCCTTGGGACATGAGATAGGCCGGTGATTCGGGAAGGAAGATAAATGCGATGAAATAGGCGACGGGTATGGTGGCACATAAGAATGAGATCCAAGCTGTACTCGATAGCATACCTGTAATAAAAGACACAAACAAACTGAATCTAAACAAATCTAAAGATAGTTCTTTAGTAATCTGATACAAAATGAGCACCATTATAAAATTTAGAAAGATATAATACAATTTTCTTATGCGACGGACGCTGAGTGTAATTAAAAAGTTATAAAACGTTATGAGAAATCCTTCAAGCAGGCTAATAAATAATTCATAATTCTTGTTAGATTTCAGATTTAATACGTCCGAGACGCTAACAAGGTTAAGTAAATTACTTTCTTGTAACTTTGTTTGTAACAATTTTTGGAATGGGGTGGTAAGTACCTACTTAATAAAAAAATAAGACACTGATTTTAGTTTGTGGAAGAATAAATATTCATTAACAGACGGTGAACCTTGGTAACAGGGCTCCATTTAATTATTTATATTCATATATCGTGAAGACTTCATAAATCAAATACCTACTTTACCTAATAAATTAACTCTAAGGACATTACGGTTTAATAAGCAAAAGTTCATTCATCAAGTTTTGTTGTTTGTGAGGGAAAATTTACAACTAGCGGATTGAGTCTTTTACTTTGCTTTCAATACACAATAGAAGAATTTGCCTTTCCAGAATTAAAAATATTACGGAGACCCGAAGGAGAGTGCACAATATAGTATTACCTGTTACAACTAGAACTTTATTCGTTAAACGTCAATTTTCTGCACTCTCAACTTACCTATATAATCGTATACATAAGCTACTGGTTATTGATCATGAGAAAAACAGGGATTACAAAAGTATTGTTACGAATTGGATAAAAACGCTAAATTATGAAGACACAGAGGCATTCCTCAAATAAGTGATTAATAAAACACACACACACAAATGCACACACACACACACACACATATGCAATCATTTTCATTTCAAAAGGAGTTGGTAACGATAGGTAATAAATATTATCTAATTTTGTTTCACCAAGTGATTAATAAAACACACACACACACACACACACAAATACACACACACACACACAAATATACACACACACACACACATATGCAATCATTTTCATTTCAAAAGGAGTGGGAACGAGAGGTAATAAATATTATCTTATTTTGGTTTCACCAACGACATGTTAACTTTTAAAAGGACTTTACGTGAAGTAAAAAACATTTATCCAGTTGTATGTCTTACCAACGACATAGCCGAAAAGCACTCCGCAAGCCAGATGCACGTGGTAGAAGTTGGCTAGCGTTGCCAAAAGTTGCTTCTCCGCAATGTCCTCCACGTAAGGTGGGACCCCAACACTGAACGCCCCCACTGAGAGGCCGCCCACGAAACGCCCCACGTACAGACCATAGACGTTGGGACTGTAAACAAACAAAAAGAAATGAACTCTTCGATTTTATTCCTCTGCGTCAAAGAATCATAAATGAGAGATCTGTAGTAAAACTACATAATAATAATAATCAGAACAATGTAAAACGTTTACAACTACATTAGTCAGAGACTGTGTCGCAGTTATTAGCGCCCCACCTCGAACATGATAACTAGTAACAATAAATACTAAAAATACTAACTTTAAGATTTATAAAAACGTTTTTGCGTATGTGTTTGTGACTGTGTGTGAGTGTATGTGTATGTGTGTGTGTGTGTGTGTGTGTGTGTGTGTGTGTGTGTGTGTGTGTGTTTGTGTGTATCTCTCTTTGTATTTTGTAGGTTTACATAATTTTTTATTTATTATTTTACTGTATAAGAGATTCGATATCTTCATATCGAAGGCTAAGCAGCCACTCATTTAAAACACTTTTACATTCACGATATGGTAAACTGTAAATATGCAATTTATAATTAATTTTAAAATTAACTACAATGAAATGAAATGAATATGAATGAAATGAATAGTCATTTATTCAGTCTAGGCTGTTACAAGCACTTGTGAAAGTCAAGAAGCTACGCCATCGGTTCGCAAAACTACGGCGGGAGACCTTGTACTGAGAAGAACCGGCAAGAAACTCAGCAAGGGCTGCTTTTTTCTCCCTGTATTGATATATACAGAGTCGTCAAGTTGAAAAATGACTTCAGACATACTTCTGAAGTCACCTTCCATTACATTATTTAGGGTATAGATATATAGTTACAACAAATTTTATATTTAGTATATATAGGAAGCCGCATTAGATAGGTACCATACTACTGTTAAACTGACTCATACCCATCAAATAAGAAATTACAAGAAACAATATGTCCATGCATTACGATCATTTAGATAATCATTAACTTTATAATAGCCCTTATTCATAAGAGTATTCTTAATCTGAGATTTAAATTTGGTTAGTGGAAGCTCAATCAGATCTTGGGGAACTTTGTTAAACAATGCAATACTACATCCCAGAAATGAACCTCTAGATTTTTGGAGTCTGAAACATGGAACGGCAAGCTTGTTCTTAAATCTCGTGTTTAAGTTATGGGTTTGACTTTTTTTTGCAAATGCGTCATAGTTTCTTCTTACATATATTATATTTTCATAGATGTATTGCGATGCCAGTGTTAAAATATGAATTTCTTTAAATTTTTCTCTAAGAGATTCTCTTGCCTTTAAATTATATATGGCGCGAACAGCTCTCTTTTGCAGTATGAAAATACTTTCTATATTAGCAGCTGAGCCCCACAACAAAAGGCCATATGACATAACGCTATGAAAGTAACCAAAGTAAACCATTCTTGCCGTTTCCACATCAGTTAGGAGTCTTATTTTTTTAACAGCGAAGGCCGCAGAGCTCAGTCTACTTGATAAGGCATCAATATGAGGATTCCATTGCAGATGCGAGTCTAAAGTAATACCCAGAAACTTTGTAGAATCCACTAACTCTACAGGCTGGTCATTTATTTTTAAACTAGTATTAACCTGCCTCACATTAGGTAAAGTAAACTTAACACATTTTGTTTTGCTAGAGTTTAGTTTTAAATTATTTACCGTAAACCAGTGAAGGACTTCAGAGAGAGCACAATTTACTTCGTCATAACAATCATTTCCTTTCCTAGCTTTAAACACTAAAGAGGTGTCATCAGCAAATAGTACTGTCTCACACAAATCTCTTGTAAAGTGAGGAAGGTCATTAATATAAATAAGGAAAAGCAATGGGCCCAATATTGAACCCTGGGGCACGCCCATAGAAAATTGATATCGCTCGAACTATTGAAAAACCGAAGTAATAATCATCATCAGCTATTCATGTGGACCTCCGTGGCCGAGTGGTTTGTACACCGTGGTTCATGGTGTCGCTGACTCGAGAGGTCCCGGGTTCGAATTCCGGTGGGGGCAGATGTTTGTGTGCTGAATACGAGCATTTGTATTCAGTCATTTCATCAACACTTTTTAATGTAAAATAGATAGTTTACAAAATTATTTAAGAAAAATTGACCTGCCCTTTTATCGCCGAAACTACTACGTCTAAAAGTTAGGAAAAAAAATAGAATGTACTTCTTTGCTTGTAGATTGCAGGAAACCTATAAGAAGTTTAAAATATGCCTGATTTTGGTTCCTTTCCCTTCTAATATAAACTGGCACTCTCTAGGTACGTTCTTAGTGAGTGTGTCAGTTAATAGTGGAATACTAGCAAACCAGTGAACCAAATGTTCACCATAACCTGATTTCTCGAAAACCGGAAGTGCTAAGTTACTCAAATCCGGTTTGTAGTCTTATCAGACTATTCGTAACTTATAACTTAAATATTCTCTTTATCTATCTCTTACGGTTTGGCCGCTGAAACAGCACCACAGACAGACGGACTTGTCTAATAGATAAGAGATTCTATCTACGCAATTTTACTCTGAAAAGCTTAAACTACTCGTCTAATATAATTAAACGAAACATTAAACGTAAATTCTGCGACGGGAACTCTTTGCCCGTGCGGTAATCTTGCACCGGACCGGTTTTTATTCTAGTCTGTACAGAGTCAGATAAATCTATCGTTTTAAATCTGTCGTGGCCATACCGTAGATTTGATCACTTCGTGAAATGCTCGAGAATTTCATGAAATGTTTCACTATCTATTGGCCACATCATGATGTGGTTTGGGCAGAACAATGATGAGAAATCGTTTCACGATATGGCCAACTAAACGCGTGGCTACTTCATGAAATGGCAAAAAATATTTGATCATATTGTAAAGTAGTTACATTAATTACCGGTAGAGGCGCTGCAAGCGTTTTGTTTATATATTTCTATGGCGGCCGCTGCCGACAATGTTGTTTCTCGCAGTGATAAAGTGCATTAATTCGTTATTTAATGAGGAAGAAAGTTAACAAAAGGGTTTGCGACGAAACAACTTAAGGAGAGTAGGGTGACAACGCAAAATCTATGGCCTATTACTGACTGTCAAAATATGACATTTTGGCTTAGATTAAAACAAAAAGAGTAGATACGGCACTAGCCTCACAAAAGTGATCCGCACAAATTGTGGTCCACGACCCTAATCGCTTTAGTCACAACTTGACATGCAAACGACGTACATGTTAACGCCAAAAAGAAATATTGATAATATTTTGTGTTTATATGATAAAACAATGGCTAAGTATGTTTTTAAAAATGTTCAAATTGCTGAAGTACTAAAAATAAAACCCACGTCGTCGTCACTTTTCATTCGTTAGTACTATAAAATATATTTTTTTGCTGAAATTGCTGTTTGTTTTGAATCTTATTCGGTAGAGACGTCGAGTACTGGTCGCGTGATTGGTCGGTAGTGCAGTGACGCGGATCTCGCCGTCTCGTTCGCGCTGCCGTTGAAACTTAACGTGCTGTTTCGCTCGGGTCGGTAATGCAGTGACACGGCTCTTGCCGTCCCGTCCGCACTGCCGTGGTATCAGTTTTTGTTTGATGCAAGTATGAGCGTACCGTATCTACCCTTTTTGTTTTAATCTAAGCATTTTGGAAACTGCGGTTGAGGTACAAAGTGCGGATGAGAATCAATTCCGTTCAAAGATATACTGTAAAACTGTACTTCCAGGGCCCAAGAGGTGATACTTGAATTTCTTTTGTAGAAAAGGTCTCTTTTAATAGAGTTTTTTTCTGGCGCTTCGCCGGCCGCTGCCGCGGCACGCTCGCTTTGCTCGCTCGGCTCGCGCGTCATGGTCACAATACTAACCTAACCTAACCTAGTGTGAAGTATTACCGTTTGGGCCCTGGAAGAACAGTTAAGCCTACTATTGTATTATGTACCAAAGTACCTCATTATTTCTAAATATTTGATAGTTTTCTAAATATAAATGCGTAAGTTCTTGACATGTTTGATGTTCAATTTAGGAAAAAAAATATTTTATTTGTTTATTTTGTTTGCCAAACGTGGATGACCAAATCGTTAAATGTTGACGATTTAATGATCCGGTCAAATTAAGTTGGCCACATCATGAAATATGACCATTTCATGAAATTCTCGAGCATTTCATGAAGTGATCAAATCTACGATATGACCACGACATATCTATTTCATCGTTTACCTGGAAGCGACCATCAGCCAAGACACAACCAGCGGCAGAGCCAGGTACAGCAACGTCTTCTTACGTCCGAAGTACTGTGAGATGAGACCAGTCGGTATGGCGCCGCAGACTGCGCCGAAGCACAACAGCGACGCCGTCCACGACGCTTCGGAGTCAGACAGCTGAGGACAAACAATTAGGATCCGTAACGAATTTAGTTGAGAACACAGATTTATAGAGCTACGGATTCCATAAAATACAGTGGTGAAATTATTGTTCTACGACAAATATTGACGAAGTTATGACCAAATTACTAAACGAAGCGCTTTTCGGCTGGACGCGTGGTGGCTGTGACGTCACAGAGCTCTAGCGCTCGGGCGCGAGCGTGCGTAGAGATGCTGCTGATGTTCGACCGGAGGGAACCACGATCGAGTCCTGTGACATCACATGTTTCGGACGCCGGTGAATATTGGCTACCATAGAATCTATATATATAAAACTCAAAGGTGTCTGACTGACATAGTGATCTATCAACGCACAGCCCAAGCCACGGATCGGGCTGAAATTTGGCATGCAGGTAGATGTCATGACGTAGGCATCCGCTAAGAAAGGATTTTGATCAATTCTACCCCCAAGGGGATAAAATAGGGAATGAAAGTTTGTATGAAACATTGTCAATTTTAAACCGATCGGGCTGAGACTTTGCATGCAGGTATAAGAAAAATCATAGATGAATGTCATTGTGTATAAGCCTGAGAACAAAAACTGCAGTCTACCGCCGCTTTTTTGGTATAAAATCGCAACGAATGAACCGATTTCAATGATTCTATTAATTGAAATGATATTAATTAAAAACCTTTTTACATCATTATACTGTTCATTTTGAACTGATTTGCTGTCTTAGTAATGATCCTCATTCAAAACTATTTTATAAAACATAGCAATACAAGCAATTTGCCATTCTTCTTTTTGGCAGCTTTGATTTTTAGATAAATAAAGACAGCAGAATTATCCGAAGATTCAGCAGAAGCAGATATATGCTGCAAATTATGTGCTACAATTAGTGATCCTAGGTAAAAAGCATTCTTCACCTTACAATAGCCCTTTATTATATAAGACGAAGCAAATTACCTCACCCCACCTGAGTTTAAGTGCAAGTAGAGTGGAATTATGAATATACATTCAGCAGAACTGTGTCTTCATCAATTCTACACAATCAGAGTACAAAGGGGCTTTGTTTTTAAATAGGTACCACTTAGCTGTAATGTAATACAGCGAAATTCACAATCCGTCTGCGACAAATACAATTATTACAATTAATTATATTCAACTAATTCGAAATAGTAGTTGGCAACCACAAAAGCATTATCAGCGACGACAGTATCCCATTCCACGAAACCGTAGATTCAATCCAAGCATGTGATAACGTATATTGACAGGCAGTGGGACCGATGGCCTTAACTCCACCAGGAGACCTATTTTGGAATCGCGCGCTTCTAAAATGAGCTACAAAAGCTTCCGAGAAAAGTTGAGCGACACCCCAATTTCGCGGACTCAGTTTATAACTGAAACTTATATTACATCGCCACATTTTTAGCATGCAGCATTACATTTTAAATTGTTATTAAATATATAATATGTTGGTGGCACAATGGTATAAAGCTCGCCTGCCACGCGGGCGGCCCGGATTACAATCCCAGCCGAGGAAAGGCCTTTTTTTTCATTTTCACTTTTTAAGTCAGTCTTTACTGGTTATATTCATACCTAACAGAATAATTTCTATTACGATGTATAAACTTACACCAATTTGTGTCTCTGTCAGAGCATGATAAAAAATTCCAAAACGAAAACGGATTATGAGATGTCTGTATTCTTTAATCATATTATTTAAAAAAATATCGTTACATTACAAGTACATTAGTAATGCAGGGGTAGGTAAAGTAGATGAGACCTGAAAAATACCATACCTAGAAGGTACAGTCTTTAGCACGACTAATAAGGAGATAATCTTGATAAAACAAAAACACACGAGTGTGAAAAGCACTAATTTCTTCCTACAATATTTCTTCTTTGCCGATTCACTGTTGACAGAGCGGTCGCGGTCATCAGGTAGCGGTCAGGTTCCGGGCAGCCATAATCCTCTTCACGATGCGACGCCATCCTTCCCTGTCGGTTGTGCTACGTGTGCACTCGTGCGCTGGGCCGCCTACTGCCGATTTGATCTGGTCGGTCCAGCGCATGGGTGACCTGCCACGTGCCCTCGTGCCTTCGACCTTCCCCTGTACTACAAGACGCTCTATGGACGTGTTGTTCCGTCGTGAAACGTGCCCAAAGAACTGTAGTATTCGAGTCTGGACTACGTTTGTTAGACGCTTTTTGACACTGAGTTCTTGGAGATTTTTTTTTTTTTTTTTTTTTTTTTATAGATAGGTCCGACAAATGACTCCACCCCACCTGATGTTAAGTGAAGGTGAAGTCCAGACGTGACGATAGCTGATACAGCAGTTTTACCTGCCACACCAGCCATCTTCACCCTGCCGGCCTGCATGTTGCTTCTTCACGCCTCTTTTAAAGGATCCCAGGTTGTAAGAGGGAGGGAACACGTGAGCGGGCAGAGCATTCCATTTACGGATAGTGCGACAAAGAGTCACCAAATTTCTTTGTACGCGTTGGAATTGTGGCCACAGTTAGACGATGACAACGTAGGCCAGCGCGCGTGGTCCTCTGAAGGAAAGGAGAAGGTGGGATAAGAGAGAATAACTCCTCAGAACACTCGCCGTGGTACAGACGATAGAACGCGCTTAGTGACGCCACGTCACGGCGTAATTGAAGAGGTTCAAGGTGTTTAGTCACCTCCTCATCGCCTATGATGCGGATCGCGCGTCGCTGTAACCTATCCAAAGCATCGAGCAAGTACTTGGCGGAGCCATCCCAGAGGTGCAAGCAATATTCCACGCAGGACCGCACTTGCGTTTTGTACAACAAGCACAGTTGATCGGGCGTGAAAAAACGCCGCACCTTGTTCAGGACTCCGAGTTTGCGTGAAGCTGTTTTGATCACGGTTTCGATGTAGTTCTTAGGATTCAGGTCTGAGCGAACTTCCATACCGAGCATGGAAATGTTGCTCTGCAGCGGTAGTGTTGTGCCCTGAAGAGATGGAAGGGGAAGGAATGACGATGTTTTTGCCGTGAAAGCGCAAGCCTGAGTTTTTTTGGCATTGAACTCAACCAAGTTCCTGGTACCCCATTCGGAAATGTGGTCCAAAGCCTGATTGAGTTCAATGACAAGATTCTCGCGTTTCTCCTTGGTTACCGCCAGCCCAGCCGCTGCTTGTCCGAGATACCCCGCATGCACTGTACTATCGTCTGCATAGCAATGAATATTCCCAAGAGGAATTAAGTCATTGATATGCAGCAGAAAGAGAGTGGGGGATAGGACGGAGCCCTGGGGAACGCCGGCATTCACTGACATGAACCGCGAACTGCTACCATCCGTAAGGACATGAATTCTACGCTCATGCAGGAAGTCAGCTACCCAAGAACAGAACTGGGCTGGCAGACCGTATGCCGGAAGCTTGGAGAGAAGGCTTTTGTGCCAGACCCTGTCAAACGCCTTGGCAATGTCAAGGCTGATAGCCAACGACTCGCCACGCTTGTCGATAGCCTCACCCCAGATATGAGTTAAGTACGCTAGAAGATCACCCCTCGATCGTTTCGGTCTAAAACCATATTGACGATCATTAATCAAGGAGTGATCCTCTAGGTAGTGGGTCAGATGGTTATTAAGGACCTTTTCTAAAACTTTACATAAAACTGAGGTGACTGCTATTGGCCGGTAGTTTGCCGGGTCTGAGCGATCCCCTTTTTTGGGCACCGGTTGCACATTGGCATCTCTCCAAGTCTCCGGCACACGCCCCAAAGAATACGAGCATTGGTACAAGCGCGTGAGCACGGGAGACAACTCCGCTGCACATTTTTTGAGTACTACTGCTGGGATGCCATCAGGTCCACTAGCTTTCCGGACGTCGAGTGATTGCAATTCGGCACGAACCTCGCGCTGCCTGAATTAATTAATGAAAAAAATGATAAGATAAAATTTTCAGGCATCGTTGCGCCACAGTGAGGTAATGATGGTAGCAGTGCATTGCAATCATCGATTCGGGAGTTAGCCGCAAAGAGTTTTGCCAGTAAATCGGCTTTCTCCTGCGGCTTATGGGCTAGTGTTCCGTCTGGGCATCTCAGAGGTGGCAGCGAGGGCTCGCAGAAGTTTTTTTGCACGGCCTTGGCCAGACGCCAGTAGCTACGGGAGCCCGTAGGATGCGTCATAAGTTCCTGGCCAACACGTGCAACGCGCTGGGCATCCGCTCTAATGTAAGCCTTCTTACAGGCCTTGGAAGCAAAATTGTAGGCTGCTTTGAGTAAATCGACCTCGGGATCCTTGAGAGCGCGCCCTCTGATCCAAGCACGATATGCCGCTTGCTTACGCGAAGCAGCTTCAGCACAGTCGTGATTGAACCAGAGGTTACGCGTGCCCTTACTGATGAGATCAGAATGAGGAATATAGTATTCCATACCCATTATAATCTCCTCAGTAATGGCAACGGCACTGGCTGATAGGTCCCTGTCACTGAAGCAGCGCTGCTTCCAAGGGACGGACGCAAAGTAGTCACGCATACCGTCCCAATCTGCCGACCCATAATGCCAGATACGGCGCTTGACCACTGCTGGACGCGGAGGCTTGGCCTGTGGTGCTTTGGTAGATATCAGGCAGTGGTCTGACGAGCCCAGGGGGGCTCTTACCACAACCTGATAGTCCTGTGGATGGGTCGTGAGCAGAAGGTCCAGTAAAGAAGGCGCTTGACTTGGAATATCTGGGATCCTGGTGGGCTGATCAACCAGTTGCTTCAAGTCATGCGTGAGAGCGAATGCGTGAGCAGAGATCCCTGCATGGTCAGTTTTGGAGGAACTTAACCACAAATTGTGGTGAGCATTAAAGTCCCCCAAAAACACCAATTCTGCATTGGGAAATTGTTCCTGCGCGTCATCTGCTGCCTGACTAAGGTGTTCAAAAAGTCGAGTTGTCTCAACATCGCCGGTGTGGGATCTGTAGAGACACACGTAAACTCTGATCAGGGGGCCAGAGCCGACGTGTACCCCCAGCATGGAGAAGGAGGGATCTTCCA